CTAACACAAAATGTTTAATGATATTTCTCTTGACAGCCTGTCACCCTGCTGATAGCGTGGGAGAGAAATATGGCAGCTACAGAGGAAACACTGGCTGGAGACCAGGTCTTGTGCTACCTTGGTTTGTTAGATGTTATCAGAGGAGCACCGTGAGCCAAGATCTCGGGTAAAGCGACAAATCTCATAAATCACATTTTCAGTGAAGCCATAATGACTGGGTATGTATAAAATTGAGCGTGTTTAGGTTTTAATCCTACAAATCTTTCCCATTTCGCAAATAGTTCAGACTCACTATTTCGGTAGCTAAATATACAACAGCTTTTAGCTCCACTGTACACATGCACAAGATATATCCACATAGCACAAATGAGCGGCTGTGAGGAGCACCAAAACTGCTATAGCCTTCTCTTTCAGATTAGGGTATCCCCTTCCTTGTAAGGAACTTCCTTGTAAGAACTGCATGCTATCAGCTGGGTAACTCACTTGTTTATCTTGGGACCAGCACGGTGGCTGTCTAAAAACAAGATTTGTGTCCAGTGCTCTTGCTCTGTTAGGAAGTATGGGTGAAGACGTTTGAACTCTGACAAGCTATCATGTCTATTTTGTTTTTAACATCACTGCCAGATGCCAACTTGTTTTATGCAGAAATACGTCAAGGGCTTTGCATGTCAGATCTCTTAGTCAAAGTTTTAGTATTTGTCATGCACTTTGCAAACTGCTCTGATCTTTCCTCCCCAGTCGTAGCTAGGATCATTAAACCCTATGAAAATCTGGTAGACAAGCAATCTAATAAAGCAGTTCTTTGTTTTGTGGCTGACGTGATAATTCAAACAGAAGGTCAGGCAAAGAAAACCACTCTTCTCTGAATGCAGTGGAGAAACAAGTGGAGGAGTATCCTGTCTCCTTTTAACCACCATGTCACAGCAGTAAGAAGCAAATTTGCATTTAGTGCATGAGATGAAAGTGTAAAAAACTCCTTCACTGAATTACCAGCAAGTTATTTCCACAGCAAGGCCCTTCTCCTGAGGGCTGGCACTTCCACAGGTTCCTGGGGACTGCAGGCCTACCACCTGATTTTGCATGATCACCCTTCCTGCCTGACCCTGAAGGTATCGTGGTGCAATACATGCTAACCCCAGCCCAGATCCCCTACTGGAAGAAAACCTTCAAATGCATTCCATGTGGCAGCTTTGTCACCTGTTATCCATGTGACAGTGTGCAGTTTTCCATCAGCTCAAATTCAGTGTCAGGAAAGTGTCCTGGCTACACAGGAGCTGCTCTGGGTTCAGGCTATGCACTTTTGTGAGGTTGTTTGTATTTTTCTTCTTTCTTCCTTCCTTTCAAAAAAACAAAAAAAGTGGAAAAATGGAATAGTCTGAGTAGGAGTCAGTATTTTTCTGTCTGGTTTGTCTTTGCTAACCGTTTCTATCACTATCAGCAGATACGTAAAAAGCTCTTCTGCAGCTGAAGTTTTCGTGGTGTCTAATGTCAAATGATTCTTTAAACACCAAAGTACTCACTGATGGATGGTTTTCTTTTTTGTTTTCCTAAATACTCAGTCTACACTTTTGTCTCTGACAGAGAATGTGCTGCTTCAAAATAGAAGCAAAGATTGGCTTCCATTGCCGGGCAAAGCTTCTCAGATACAGATCATCTCAGCTTATCTGGTTCAAGCCCGTCTGCACATAACACTGTTTTCTTTGGAAGCTCAACATCTTTGTTCTGTGTTTCATTGTTCTCATTTCTTATAGTTGGAGCTGTGGCAAAAGAAAAATCAGCTTTTTGTTTCTTTTCTCTTCAGCACCAGAGGGTAAATTACTGCTGATGCAGTTGGAAACATTTTTTCTTCACAATTGTTTGGAGTCAGCCTTCGGACTTCTTGACTGAAATCCACTGAAAAGAGCAATGATGTTGGATAGTGGAAGCAGACTGGTCAAGCAACAGGAAAGTTATGGAGCGTATGGTGGCCTGAGCAGCTTTACCGACTGAGCAGTGGCACAACAGTATTTTTGCTGGTTGGCCATCTCATTTTTCCTGAGAGTAGAAATGGGAAAGAACGGCTGCAGCTCTGCCTACCAGAAATTGCAGAGGGTTGCCAGAAGGGACCCATGTTTACCAATCTTCACAGCCACTTCTGTGCTGCAGCTTTGTGTGGTCAGGAAGGTGGAGCCCCACAGAGAGCTGGCTGTCATTCATCGGGATGCTGCAAAGCAATGGTAACATAAGGAGTTCACTCCTTAACGTACAATTATTATTCACAGATCAACCCTCCAGTCTTCACAAAGGACAGGAAGCCAGCATTTTGTACTGCATTATGAGAAATGGGTAGCAGGAAGCTTTTCGTCTCTATGTCAAGATGAGTGTGATCAATCATAATCTCTGCTGAGCAGTGCTAACCATCTGACACAGCTTCTGTCTGCTTATCCCTCCTGGGCCAGTAACAATTCAGTCACAGCTTGAGTAACAGCCGTGCACAGACCTCTGGCCACAGAACATGTTGAATACTGAATAGCTGGAAGGGTAAGAGAGAGAAGCGAAGGCTGTAGTCTCTGCTGCTTTCAAAGGATGCCTGTCTTGGGATAGCAAATCCCACTCAGCCCGACTTCAGCCAGCTCCTCTAAAGGACTTGAGAAGCACACAGATTGCAACACCCTAAGGTCCTAAACTGGCTTCCCCCTGCATTATAATAAAGTGCAGCTGCTGCTGATGGTGTGTAACAGCAATGGTACGTGCAGTTCTGCCCATCATAGAGAGAAGAACGACGGCTTCAGACTCAGCACCGCTCCCTTAACATGCCTGGGAGCGCAGATGCAGCAATGGAGCTGCCTGTTACATTGTGGACATGCATGGGTGGAGGTCATCAGCTTCCTAAGATAGAATCATGAAATCAGAGTATCACAGATTGGCTTAACAGAGGCCTAGAAACTTGGGAAAACAAATATCAAGCGATACAACTGTTTGTTTTGGTGGTGCTGTTTAACAGGGAGGTGTGTCACTCCTCTCAGTGTGAATAAAATGGAGGTCAAAACTGCACTACAGGAAGGAGGCAAGTAGTTTCCTGCATGGATGAAAGTAATTCATGGAATCAAAGAATGGCTTAGGTTGGAGGAGAACTTAAAGATGGGGAGGAGTGGCTGAAAGCTGCCTAATGGAAAGGGACCTCGGTGTGCTGATGGGCATTTGGCTGAATTTGAGCCAGCAGTGTGCTCAGGTGGCCAATAAGGCCAATGGCATCCTGGTTTGGATCAGGAATGGAGTGGTGAGCAGGACCAGGGAAGTCATCCTGCCCTGTGCTCGGCACTGGTGAGGCCTCACCTCAAGTCCTGTGTTCATTTTTGGCACCTCAGTACAGAAAGGACATGGAGGTGCTGGAGCAGGTCCAGAGAAGGGCAACAAGGCTGAGGGGAGACCTTACTGCTGTCTTCCAATACCTGAAAGGTGATTGCAGCAGAGCGGGGCTGGTCTCTTCTCACTGGTGACAGGTGACAGGAGGAGAGGAAATGGCCTCAAGTTGCACCAGGGGAGGTTTAGGTTGGATATCAGGAAAATCTTCTATACAGAAAAGGTTGTTAAGCACTGGAATAGGCTCCCCAGGGAGGTGGTTGAGTCACCATCCCTGGATGTGTTGAAAAACCATTTGGATGTGGTGCTCAGGGACATGGTTTAGCAGAGGGCTGTTAGAGTTAGGCAGTATGGTCTGGTTGTTATTGGACATGATGGTCTTTAAGGCCTTTTCCAACCTGATCAATCCTTTGACTCTATGATTCCAAACCCCTGCCATACTGCCATACCCTGTCTCGAACCATGCTAGGACACAGTGAGAGCTTTTTGTACCTTATTTCCCCCTTTGCCTGACCCCCTCCCCTGTTTGCCCATTGGCTGGGTACTCCAACTTCACAATCAAAGTTTCCATTTGTTAATTGCTGTCTCTTCAGGCGCTTCCTTGGGCATGCCATGACATCAATATCCCATGCAGGATATTCTTGCAATGTATATGATAAAATACATGCATATATACTGAGCATGAATTCCTGGAGAAGGTTCATTTAGAGGATAAGTAATGCAAACTATCAGAGACCCCCCCCCCCAAGTAAAGTAGAAAGACTCCCAAAAAGAACTGTGACAGCGGAGACCATGAAATAACAAAATATTATCCAATTCTAATGCAGAAAAAACATTTGATGCCACTGTCAAATAGCAACAACACCACCGGGTCAACATCCTGCTCCATCCCCCAACAGCTCCATCCCCAGACATTTCTGTCCCCCAACAGCTCCATTCCCCCAACAGCCCCATTCCACAACAGCCCCATCTCCAGCTCTATTCCCCCAACAGCTCCAGCTTCATCTCCAATCCCCTACAGCTCCATCCCAACATCTCCATTCCCAGCTCCAATCCCCCAACAGCTCCAGCTCCATCCCCCAGCAGCTCCATTCCCTCAATAGCCCCATCCCCCCAACAGCCCCATCTCCAGCTCCATTCCCCCAACAGCTCCAGCTCCAGTTCCACCTTCAATCCCCTACAGCTCCATTCCCAGCTCCAATCCCCCAACAGCTCCAGCTCCATCCCCCAACAGCTCCATCCCATCTCCAGCTCCGTTTCCATTCCTCCCCCCCCCCATCCCGGCATGCTCTGCGCGCGGCCGCTCTACCCGCTCTGCCACCGCCTCTATGGGCGGGGCGGGCCGCTCCGTGGCGGCGCAGCAGGCCTGGGGCGGGGGAAGGTGAGCTGCGGCCCGCGGGGCGCTTCACTGCTTCGTTGTCCTCCGTCCCGCGCTGGGGACTGGAAAAGTGTCTGAAGGGGGAGGGAGGGTCGTGAGGGGATATTGCGACCCGAGGGGGGGTGGAGAGACCCTGTGGTGGAGGGGTGGAGTGTGTGAATGGGGTGGGAGGGCTGGAAGGAAAGTTTGAGGGTGCGAGGAGGGACGGTGTGGGGATCCGCGAGGGGAGGAGGTGAGGAAGGTGGGGTGGGAGGCGCTGGGACACGGGGGGGTGTGTGTGTGTTTGAGCCCGATGGACGCGGCAGCAGCTGGAGGAGGTGATCCTGCCTCTGCTGCGGTGCTGTGCCCAGTCCTGGGCCTCCCGTATGACAAAGAGCTGGGAGATGCCAGCAAGTGCTGCTGTGATGCTGCAGGCGCTGGGGCTGCTGTGCCGGGAGGAGAGGCTGAGAGCTGTGGCTGCTTAACACAGAGATTCAGATCCTGCTCATGTCCATGAATCCCTGATAGGAGGTGCAGAGAGCGTGGAGCCGGGCTTCTGTCAGTGGTGCCCTGTACCAGGACAGAAGGCATAAACTGAGGCACAGGAGGCTCCATCTGACCATCAGGAAGCACTTGTGTGCTGGAGCATTGCTACAGGGACCCTGAGATTGTGGGTGTCTTCCTTGGGGATCTTCAGAAGCTGCCTGAATGTGGTGCTGGGTGTCTCTGCTGGAGCAAGGGTTTGAGCAGATGGACACAGAGGTCCTTTCCAGCCTCAACCCGTCCTTTTGTGACTGTGTGTTTGCTTGCACTTCAGGTGGTTTGTATTTTTGAGAGATTAATTAAGGGAAAGAGCTTCAGACTCTTAGAATGTTAAGGTGTGATTTAGGCAACATGGGGCAGGAGATTTCAGAAGGAGCTGAATGTTGGGGTTTGAGTTCCACGTAATGTGCATTATGTGTGATAGTTGATAGGAGTATGTCTGGACATAATTTGTGATGGAAGGTTTTATATCAGCTTCCCCTTGATTATGAGTACAAAGCCTATAGGCTTCATTGAGGCCTATAGGCTCTGGATATTTGCAAACCTTGTTTTAAAGGTTGGCATCCATTGCTTTCAGGTGGGGTTTTTTATTCAGTGATAAATCTGGAGAGATGTAAGCTAAATCTGTCTGCTTCAGGGGTCTCCTGGGCTATGGTAGTGTTTACCACAGCTGCAGTAGGAAGATCAGAAATTGACAGAATGGTTGCACATCTCAACTGGCCTTTGTTTAGAGGGAAGGGAAATGTGATTCTGAACAGGAAGAGAAAATGAGTGCTAAAGAGAGGTACTGGTGGCAAGATGTGACCCGTTCATGCTGTACCATTCTTAAAAGGAAACTTCTGCTCATGAGGGTTAGTTAAAGTAACTTCTTAAAGAATATGATTTTAAAAATAATCCCCCACTCCATCAGCTGCTTACTGGCGTGTGTTTGCTTTCAGAGCCTTTCACGTGGATTCCAAGTATGGAAATTAAGGCAGGAGTTTCTTTAGAAATGTGATGCTAGTGAATTGAATCTAATCTTCTACGGAGGAGCTTGCATAACAGTAAGAGATCTGACTTGAGCTGCCTTAATAATCCCTAGGTAGTCACTGGGGAGAGTGAGCTGCTGCTTAGGGAGTGAGGGATGGAGGAGCTGCCTTCTGGAGAAGTTCAGTTAGGTGCCTGCTGTGGGAACGGCCTGAGGAGTCCTGTTTGCTGGAGGGCTGCTAAATAATACTGCTTGGGGGAGTACTGAACAGTTTCCTGCTGAAGTGTAGGATGTGCAGGTGCTTCACATCAAGAAAATAACAAGCAGTGCTTACTGAAGTTACAAATTACAGCTTGTTCTTTACTAGCTTTGTGCCAGTAAAATTGCTGGGCTCCACTGGTTGTTAGTGATTCATATTCCGGAAGATTTGATACGTGCTTAATCAGAAGGCACAAAGACGTTGTCAGAGTTCAGGAGCTGAGTTCAAAGGCCTGCCACGTCAAGTCCAGTGCAGATACTTTGGGCAGCTAATCGTACGCAAACAGAGAGGGGCCAGAGGAGGAAGTTAAGTCAAACTGGAATGACAGGAGCACAGATTGACTCGGTTCTGGGTACACCTTGATCAGGATGGTACGTTATGAAGGGGTTTTCTTCACGGGGAGACTGGTGAGGCGCTGGAATGGGCTGCCCAGAGATGTGATAGAATCCCCATCCCTGGAGGGATTGAGGGGAGGTGTGGACATGGCAGTGAGTGATGGACGTGGTGCAGTGGCGGTGGGTTGGATTGGTGGTTGGACCTGGTGATTCTGAAAGCCTCTTCAAACGTAGGTGATCAGAGGCTGGAGCAGCTCTCCTCTGAGGAAAGGTTGAGGGAACTGGGTTTGTTGAGCTTGGAGAAGAGAAGGCTGCAGAGACTTCATTGTGGCCTTCCAATAATTGAAGGGAGTGTATAAACAGGAGGGGGAACGACTGTGAGGGTGGATGGTGACAGGACAAGGGGGAATGGTTTTAAAGTGAGACAGGGAGGTTTAGGTTGGATATGAGGAGGAAGTTTTTGAGCCAGAGGGTGGTGAGGCACTGGCACAGGTTGCCCAAGGAGGCTGTGGATGCCCCATCCCTGCAGGCATTCAAGGCCAGGCTGGATGTGGCTCTGGGCAGCCTGGGCTGCTGCTTAGTGACCTGCACACAGCAGGGGTTGGAGCTGGATGAGCACTGTGGTTGTTCTTGCTCTGCTCTTTCAGCTATGCCTCCGTTGCAAGTAAACCCCTGAATCACTGAAAATCCTGTGTGTTCTGTTTATTTTTAAGCCTCTCAGAAGTCTCTAGAAGTGATACCTGAGAGTGGCACACAACTTTGGTGTGGAGCAGGGTGTTAGCTGAGCAAACATGCCTTCAGGCTGTGGAATGGTTGCCCAGGGAGGTGGTGGAGTCGCCGTCCCTGGCAGCGTTCAAGAGGTGTGTGGACGACGTGCTGCGTGATGTGGTTTAGTGCTAGTAGTGGCAGTGGTGATGGTATGGTTGGACTGGATGATCTTACAGGTCGTTTCCAACCTTGTGACTCTATGATTCTATGAATGGGAGGTGTGGAATCAGAGGAGGCATCTCCAGCCATTTTGCTCTCAGATGTTTTAAGGTTCGAGCCTCCATATCTGTGCTGGGGTTGGTTGATATAGAATCACTGCATGTACTTCATTTCTTTAGGCAGCAAAGCTAAAACATTTGCAGGCAAGTAGATTAAAAATAATAATAATAATAATAATCCAACCTGCTGGAAGAATACAGTGATGATAGAAAGTTACAGCAGCTGCTCTGTCCTCTGGGGAAGCCTTGGCTCCTTTCTCTGCAGCAGTCTGGCATTTAGTTTGGAGGAGTGCCTGATGGTGAACTGATAGATCTCACAGCAGATCATGGAATCCCTGATTGCCAGCTTCCTGAGCACCTTGCACCCTGCTGCATGAGGCCTTGTGCACCCTGGGGAGCTGTGCAGTTAACTGCAGGTGATGTTATCTGTAGTGGTGGACATCTAGGTATATTTTTAAGCTTAAACTCTGGCTGCTGATGGTACGGTGAGTTGGAAGATACCTGTTTAATAAATGTGTTGTCTTTCTGTTTTGTTGGTCATCTCCTGGCTGTATCTGAAAGATAAATGAGAACGTTCAGTGCAGTCCCCACGTGGTGTTTGCCAGATGGGACATTGCTGAGCTGTACATTGCCAACCATTAATCAATGGCGTCAAGCTCAGGAGGGGCAAATTTAGATTGGATGGAAGGAAAAAGTCTTTTACAGTGAGGGTGCTGAGGCACTGGCACAGGTTGCCCAGAGATGGGTTGATCCCTCATCCCTGGAGACTTTCAAGGCAAGGTTGGACCAGGCCTTGGGCAACCTGATCTATTTGTGGTGTCCCTGTGCATTGCAGGGGGGTTGGAAGGGACCTTTAAAGGCCATTCAGTCCAACTCTAAGGATTCTGTGATTCTATAAATTGTAAAGCAGCTCTGGTCTGTGTGACCGTACTTAAAAGTGACTGTTAACATTAGTACTTCCAAGTTGGCAATTTCCTTTTGTGTTCCGTGCTAAAGCTGAAGCAGTTTTCTGCAGTGCTCCATCCATGCTATTGCCACAGTGCTGGATGTGAGGTCTCGAGTCGACGTGCAATCATTCTGATTACTGTTGAAATTCATTCCGCTGCACACTGAAGTGAAGTTGGCAAGCTTAGTTTGATTTTACAACTAAGATGAGTGGTGGAAAAGAGAGCTCAGCTCTTAGGAGATGATAGGAGCACTGCAGGCAAGGGGTTATGAATGGCTGTAGGGAACATGCTTTGCTCGCTTACCTCCTGAGACAGCAAAACCACTGGAGAGGTACCTTGTAAAGACACTTGGAGCATTGGAAAGGATTTTTTGATACAGGCTGCTTAAAGCTGTCATTCCCCCTAACAAAAATGTGACTTCGCAGTGATATTTCTGTTTTTTTTTTTTTCCATCTAATGCTTTATTTATTTAGCTTGCCTGAAGCAGAGCGAAGGCCTTTTTTTATTTCTCATGTTGTCTGTGGTAATCTCTTGATGTCTGCAGATTTAGAGGTGCTTTGCAGCAAGCTGGGGTAACTTGAAATCAGTGGTTGTGGTATCGAAAGTACTTTGCTTGTCGTTTCATGGTAGGGGGTGTCTCTGAATGCATCTAGGATGTGTTGGTGAAGAAAATGAGCTTTGTTTTCCTTAAGGCAAACTGCTTTCGAGGATGTGTTCACCCACTGCACAGCAGGTTTTGCATATATGAGGGCTGATTAGTGGGTTATCTTAAATTCTGCCTGCGATTCTCTTTCAGAGGCGATGGGAGCTGCCCTGTTGGTCTTCCAGCATCTTGTGCTGAGTGCTCATGGCGTGTGCAAAGGACAGATCTCCTGTGTGATCTGAATGTACCAGGTAATTTCCAGTAATAGCTTACGGTGGGAGATTGTGACCTGAAAAAGAACAAGAAGCCAAGAGAGGGCAACGTTTGTTCCATATTTAGCTGTAATTGCTTCTCTGAAAAGAGGCTGTAGCCATTTTTACAAATGTGTTGCACTGGAAAGTCAGGCCTTGCTGCAGCACTAACACAACTGCAGGCCTAATGAAGCTGCAGTGTCCTTAGGAGTGAGCTGGTTTGTGTGACTACCAAGAAGAACTTAGCATTTCTGATGCTTTAGGTGAAGTAGGAGGGAGAACAGTGAACATTTTCACTATTTAATCCCCACCTCTCCTGTTTGAGAGAGGCAACAGATGGCCGCAGCTCTGACCTTTGGGAATACTTTGGTTGCCTTTCAGCAGCAGAGCTGTTGAAAGAGGATTTGTTGGGAGCAATGGTAAATAGCTCTGTGAGATGTGTCCGTCTTGTGTAGCAGTTTGTAAAGATCTGAGGAGGCATCCACTGCTGTATCTTTAACCTAAATCATGATTTGTTTTCAGGTTGTCCTCATGAGTGCTCCAGTGGAGAATGTCCATGATCTTCTTTGCCTGTGTGGTGCGGGTGAGAGACGGTCTTCCCCTCTCAGCCTCCACAGACTTTCATTTCAACCAGGACTTTTTGGAATGCAGAAAGAAATTGAAGGCATTATCCTCAGTTCTGGCACGTTATCCAAATCGAGGCACAGCAAAAGGACGTGAGCTGAGCATACAGTGAGTCCCTACCTCAGCTGCCTTGTTTTCTGACTTCAGTTTAAGATGGTTGTGCTGGAGATTAGTTGAACTTTAAGGATGAGGTGTGTTCTCTGAAACCCTATGGTGTGTGTCTGGGTTGTAACCTCCTGGCTGTATTTGGAAACTGAATTTCACAGTGCCAGAGCCGTGCAGCTCCTACTCAGTTTCGTAAGCATATGTTAAGAGTTGCTTAGTTTGGTTGTCATTTTTTGTAGCAAACCCATTCTGCTTGATGGGTGATACTTGTCACTATTGGCAACTGCAGTGGATTGGACTTCTGAGTCTTGGTGCCTAGGAATTAACTAGCTTTGTCTGAAACTGAGCCCAAACCCCATTCTTTGCAGACAGTCAGATCTTCCTGATGCCTTCTCAGTAGATGATCTGCTATGATGTGATCTGCTTGACCTGGAAATCCATGGGTTCCTCCAGTTCTTATCCTGACTTGCACAGATCTGCCTACAATGGCCTGGAGCTGTATGGAAAAATGAGAAATCTCAGCCTGCTTCTGTCAGAGAAGGATCTGCTAGTCTTTATTTCAAGAAATCAAGGTTCTATTCAGAGAAATTTTGTTTCCTATTCAGTTTAGTTTTAAAAATGAGTTTTAGTTTGGGATTGCAGGAGAACTTACAGTGATCCTCAGCTAGAACTGTGTCTCTTTCAGAGGGAGTTACTGGGGAAACCAGATACATGAGCTTGAGCTGAGTGAATTAGGAAATCAGAGATTCTTTTTAATTTCTTTTCCTTCAGGTTGTGTTGATGCTCTTCAGTAGTAATGTGTTCTGCTGGTAAACAAGAGTGTGATGAAACAGGAGGGGAAATGACTGTGTATATGGGTGGATGGTGATAGGGCAAGGGGGAATGGTTATAAACTGAGACAGGGGAGGTTTGGGTTGGATATGAGGAGGAAGTTTTTCACACAGAGGGTGGTGAGGCACTGGCACAGGTTGCCCAAGGAGGCTGTGGATGCCCCATCCCTGCAGGCATTCAAGGCCAGGCTGGATGTGGCTCTGGGCAGCCTGGGCTGCTGGTTGGTGACCCTGCACACAGCAGGGGGTTGGAGCTGGATGAGCACTGTGCTCCTTTTCAACCCAGGCCATTCTATGATTATTTTGGGGATTGTGGAAGTTTAGCTGGCTGCCCTGAGTGCTGACACCTGAACAAGGTACTCTGACTCCCGTGTTTTATGAAGTCTGGATGGGAGTAATTAATTACATGTCCTTAATTACACAGCTGTGCCTTGCTCACATGAAATGCCAGTTCAGTGTCCTGGTAGGTTTGGGGGCATCTGTAAGTGGAAACTTGGATACATAAACTTCTATTCACAACATCACAGAATGCCTTGGGAAGGGGCCTCAGGGATCATGAAACTCCAACCCCCTGCTGCATGCAGGGCCACCAACCTACCCATTTCACAGCAGCCCAGGCTGCCCAGGGCCCCATCCAACCTGGCCTCCAACACCTCCAGGGATGGACGGGGCATCACAGCCTCTCTGGGCAGCTGTTCCAGCACCTCACCGCTCTCACAGCACACAACTTCCCCCTGACATCCAACCTCAGTCTTCCTCAATTTCAAGCCATTTCCCCTTGTCCTGCAGCTATCAACCCTTTCCAAGAGTTGATTTCCTGTTTGTATTCTGGTCAATTCTGGATGAGGATTTTAATTTTTCTTACAGGAGATCATCTTGCTTTGTTATAGATCACTTAGCATTAATAGCATTCTTGGTTTTATGCAAGTGAACCGAATACCTCTTAATATGAAGTCACTGCATTCAGGGGGCAGGAGAAATCCACCTGCTTGCCTGTGGTGTGCAAGCTTCCTTGTTTCTGTTTGTGGAAAGCTACTGTGCTTTCTTTCTAAATTTTCTTCCCCATGGTGTTTTCTGGACTGTCCCAGCACTGTTCAGACCAATGCATCCCTCACTCACTGCAGTCTGTACGTTTTGTTTTGATAGAAAGCACAGCTGACTTCTCACGTTCTGAATAACCCTTCTGCCTTTCTATGTTGATAATCCTTTTTTTTGGTTTTAATATTTCAGTTTCCTGTCTTCTGGGGAGATTGCCTGCATGGCCATCTGTTCCAGCAGTTACTCGACCATCATGGCATTTTGCTTCCTGGAAGAGCTTCATTGGGAATTTGCTGCTTCCTATGACACAACAAGCATCAGTTTAGCTTCCAGACCGTATGCTTTTCTTGAATTTGGTTTGTAGCTTTGTTCTCTACTAAGAATTTATTGTCTGATACTTTAATAATGTTAAATAATGTCTCCTGGCCAAAGCTTGGTCGTAAAAATGAGTCTGTCTGTGTGTGTGTGTCCTGGCATGCATGTGTAGGAGGAGGGGGAGACTTTATAAGTGCTCTGAACTATTAGATTATTGTTCTTCCCTGGTAATAGATGAGCAGAATGTGCTGCTGCTTAATAAGTAAGCACAGAAGAACAAGAAATCCACATCTCAAACACTTCATAATGTAGTCACAAGGAATCTGATGGGTGAAGACAGATGGGTACAAGAAAAGAGGAAGACAAAATAGATTGTTAGGGACACATTCACTTCTGGCATGACTTAGATTCATGTAGTGCTTCGTAATGGGCTTGTGCAGCCTGGAGAAGAGAAGCTGTGGGGTGACCTCATGGCAGCCTGCAGTACCTGAAGAACCTACAAACAGGAGGGGAATCAACTCTTGGAAAAGGGAGATAACAGCAGGACAAGGGGAAATGGTTTGAAGTTGAGGGAGGGCAGATTGAGGTTGGATGTCAGGGGAAGTTGTGTGCTATGAGAGCAGTGAGGTGCTGGAACAGCTGCCCAGAGAGGCTGTGATGCCCCGTCCATCCCTGGAGGTGTTGGAGGCCAGGTTGGATGGGGCCCTGGGCAGCCTGGGCTGCTGTGAAATGTGGAGGTTGGTGGCCCTGCATTGGTGGGGGGTTGGAGCTTTGTGATCCTTGAGGTCCCTTCCAACCCTGGCCATTCTGTGATTCTATTATAATCATGCCTAGTGTTTCTTTTTTACCCTGATATAAATGGTTTTCTTGCTAAGTAACAGATGTTCTACTGAACCTCACACCTTTGAAAACACATTCCTTTGCAGCAATAAACTATTCTGGGAAAGGATACAACAGTGCAGTGGGTTCACACAGTTCTACCTGGATTTCCATGTTATTACTGTGCTTAGAAAAATTGAGAAATCCATAATGAGAGCACATTATACAGCCATCATATGTTTTGTCTGTGTTGCCTCTTTAAGTTGTGAGGTCCAGTTGCTTCATTCAGGCCTTGTAGGAGTACAGAATGAAAAACAAATCCTCAAAGAACAGAATGTCATGATTTGATGATAACTCTTTGTGAGGGTGGGTGGTGATAGGACAAGGGGGAATGGTTGTAAGCTCAGACAGGGAGGTTTAAGTTGGATATGAGGAGGAAGTTTTTCAGCCAGAGGGTGGTGAGGCACTGGCACAGGTTGCCCAAGGAGGCTGTGGATGCCCCATCCCTGCAGGCATCCAAGGCCAGGCTGGATGTGGCTCTTGGGCAGCCTGGGCTGCTGGTTGGCGACCTGCACACAGCAGGGGTTGGAGCTGGATGAGCACTGTGCTCCTTTGCAACCCAGGCCACGATGAAGAACTGACTCCAGTTGTGCAGAGCTAAATCCACGCGTGTTTTTATGTTTCAGATGATGCCATTCAGAAAGTAAAACACCGCTTTAATTACATGAGTGGCTCTGCAACGAAGGTCAGCTGGGAGAAGGTGGAGGAGGAGCTGAGGTTGCAGCCCCCTGTTCAGCTGAAGCTGGAGGATGCAGAGCTGATGAATGGGATGGCTAATGGTGGGCACACAGGAGTGCATGTGGAGGTTGGTAAGTTACTGCTGTGCACAGGTGACAGTAGACTTGCTGAACCTCACCCTGCAAGTGGCAGCAAAGCGTGTATGAAAGCATGCAACAGCAGTTGCTCATTTGCACTGGGAAATAGATATAATGTGTATGAAACGTGGGAGAAAAGCCTGCCTTTGTGCCATGGGGAAGAGCTCACGGCCCTTGGGGCAGGCATGTGCTCAGGATAGTGCTTTCATTTTTTTCCCAGCCTTCAATAAACTTTTCCATATGGGCGAGTGCTTATAATTGAGTCGGGCATTTTGTGTGTTCAAGCATCCTGCTTTTAAAGCAGTTAATTGCTGAATTGTATTTGGTTAAAGAAGCTCCTCTCTTCCATTGGTCAGTGCAAATTCAGTTAGAAGATAGTAATTACCATCTCATTAGGTGACTTCAGCCCCAAGGAAGCCCAAGCTCTGGGCAGCCTGGTCTGGTGGTTGGTGACCCTGCACATAGCAGGGGGGTTAAAACTAGATGAGCACTGTGGTCCTTTTCAACCTGGCCACTCTGTGATTCTATGAAGGAGAAGATTTAGGAGAATGTGTTTGAGCTGAGGGTGAAATGCTCATTCTCAGACTGTCCATCTTGTTCTCCAGTGCTTTTACTCTTTAAAATTTAGTGCATCTGACTGAAGTTGTGAAAGGTGAGCTGCATGTCTACATGAAACAGGGAATCTTCTGTAAAAGATGCTGACATTTTTCCTGCTTTTGAAAGTGCTGCCCTCTGTCTCGTGATTATAAAGTTAGCGTCGTCTTGTTTGTGGTTCAGTTCTGTGATCAAAGTCCTGCTTATTTCCTCTGCAAAATAAAATGATCCTAATCCCATTAGCGTTACGGTTGAATACAGCTAGGGTACCATGAGCTTTTATTTCCTCTTTTTTGTTGTTATTCTTGGCTTATAAAACGCTAATAACATTAAATTCCAATTGCCCAGTCTTCATGTTTCCGATGGATGAACTGGAATCTGATTTGATGCAGGCATTTGTCATGGATCTGTGGCCAGGAGGAATTAAAAACAAATTAAAACATTTGCTTTAGGAGTCAGACTTGTGGGTGTGCCTCCAAACCGTGCTTGGAGGTGAAATACATTCATGATGTGGCAGGGCTTAGAAATTATTTGCACCACTGTGAACAGCGTCAGTGCCAGTAAACACATGCTAGCTGATCTGTGTCCACAGAGCAGGAATTTGTTTTCAGTTCCTCCATATTAATTGTTTTCTTTTGTTTTCCATCTGCCTTGTGTTGCTGGCTTTTTCTCTGTGGCCTAACCCGAATGCTCAAATTGTTCTATCCTTATTTTAAGGCTCGTGTTGGTGATCATCTGTTTCCATCAGCTGCAGTCAGCTTTCCTGGTTTATTTCTCTCTCTCCTCTCAGTGCTGAATCCCACTTAGCAGCTCTAAGTTTAGCTGTGTGCATGGTGTCTGTTTCCTTATTAGTGTTATTTATATTCAGGTTCTGCTAGACAAGGGACTTAGTGAGCATACACCAAAGTGTCCTGGTTATAAAGGAGAGCAGTATTAAACATTCTATACTGAAGATGAATCCCAGACTGATGAGAACATTGGCTGTAGCTCCTGCCTTGCTTTCAGCTGTACGATCACATCCTCTGGCTTTTCTTTATCTTAGCGTGAAAGGAGTCTGAAGAGTCAGGGCAGTTTTGTCTTTGTCACTGTATAGACAGAATACAAAGGGGTTTTTTTTTGTCATTTTCCCTTTGTTTTGTTCATTCCTTTGTTAATTAAACCCAGCCTGCTTCCTTCTGGAAAGACTTAACCTTGCATCGTTGGTCAACAAACATCTGTACGAGTTCAGCTTTTGTTGCAGCAGTCTGACCTGTGTCTCTGTATAAGTGTAACTCATCCCACTTTGCAGACAGGGGGGTGTGGCTATAAAGGCAATGTGAAATGTAAGTTTCCTGGTAAAAACATGATAAAATCAGCATCCTGAATTGTAGGAACCTTGCCCTGGCAGAACCCATTGCACTCATTTTGTGCAATTTACGTTTGTGGATTAAACCTCAGAAGGGCTTAAAGCCCCACAGCAATTTAAAGATCAGTTTGCACAGACTGGCATCTCTAATCTGTGATGGCACTTCTTTCTGTCCTGCTGAGCAAAAATGTAACTTGTGTATCATGTTGCATGTTCTTGTCTGCAGCCTGCAGAAGCAATACGTTGCACTGCTCTTCTCTGAGGTCTGAGAACTCTTGACATGTGTATCTGCAAGATCCTTTACAAAGAATGGCACTCGTGCTTGATGGAAGATGCAATCTGCCTCTGAAGCAAATCTTAGCAGCTCAGGGAAGAGATACAGTAGTCTTTTATCTGGAGATTTCCACGAGATAAATTCATAGCTGCAACATTATCTGATGTATGGAAAGTGAGAGGAAACAGTGCTGCAGTCAGTGTAAGAACAAAACATGCTGGTACAGCTTCTGTTTTGCTTGGACTTCACATTTCACTGCATAGCAAAACAGCAAAATTGCCTTTAAATGATTGGATTTCTTGCATCATTTATTTAGATGAAAACGTGTGTGACTGTAATACACAGTAATACTAAATAATGTGACATATTGCAAGCAAGATTAATACATTTTCTTCTGTAGCAGTTTTGGGGATAAAATTATGGAGGTATGAATGTGTGTCGCACAAATTAATTTTGTAGGCATTTATAAGAGATCGTTTGTATCCTTGTGTTAATTTGGCAGTGAGATTTTTACAATCCATCAATCAAAATCTCCCTTAAAGGAGAAGACAGAAGTGTTTTCTCTAAGCTGTGCAGCAGGGCAGTGCTTCAGCAGTTGAAGTATTTCATCTGCCACTGAAGCAGAGCCGGAATCGATCTCTGCTTTGTGATGTGGTTTATCTACAGTAGTCAGGAGCTGCCTGCTTCTGGATAGAAGGCAGAAGATCCTGAGACAGGGGAGGCTTCTTGAAGGCTCCTTCATTCTGTCCTTTATCTCGTGGATGTTGGTGCAGGAGAGCATCTGGATTTGATACTTGAGGTGCAGATTGCCCTTGTTATGCTTCAAGTGTGTTCTTGTGGTGATGCAGAGACAGAACATAGCAAGACGTGGGTGTAAGCTAATGTTGGACTGGCAAGGATAGCTAGGTTGGGAAATAGATGAGTTTTTGGTCAAACACAGCCCTTAATTAGAAGTGCCACGTTCCACAATTAAGTGCAAATCAATAGTAATTGCTTTGACCTAAATTAGGTATGAAGCAATTAGGTCATCCTGAATAAATAGTATTGGGTGCATGGGTGTTAGAGAACATAATAGTAGTGGAGGAGGTGAGAAGGGAGAGAGAGCTAGATGGCTGCTTCTGGAATGTAGGCCAGTTGGGAGAGAGGGAAAGAAAGGAATTGCAGTGCAGTGTAAAATAAGCAGCAGAAGCCAAAATCCGCAGCATCCAGTCTGGTTCCTAACCCCTTTTTGGCTGTGTTCTGTCAGCCTGCCCTGTGGACTGGCACTGACAGGAGCAGGGGCAGTATTGTCTGGAGAACTGCCACAGGAACTGTTGTAGCAGCAGAGCATCTGAGTCCTGGGCTTCAGCAGTTGCGTGTTACATTCAGGCAGGTGCTCAATTAGGGCACCAAATTCCATATTGCATCCAGGTCTGGGCCCCCAGTGCAAGAAAGACAGGGAGCTGTTGGAGAGGGTCCAGGGGAGGCCACAAAGATGATCAGAGTGCTGGAGCACCTCACCTGTGAGGAGAAGATGAGGGAGCTGGGCTTGCTTAGCTTGAAGAGAAGGATGTGGGGTGACCTCATGGCAGCCTTCAGTACCTAAAGGGAGCCTACAGACAGGAGGGGAGTCAGCTCTTGGAAAGGGGAAATAACAGCAGGACAAGGGGAAATGGTTTGAAGTTGAGGGAGGGCAGCTGGAGGTTGGATGTCAGGGGAAGTTGTGTGCTGTGAGAGCGGTGAGGTGCTGGAACAGCTGCCCAGAGAGGCTGTGATGCCCCATCCATCCCTGGAGGTGTTGGAGGCCAGGTTGGATGGGGCCCTGGGCAGCCTGGGCTGCTGTGCAATGGGGAGGTTGGTGGCCCTGCATTGGTGGGGGGTTGGAGCTTCGTGATCCTTGAGGTCCCTTCCAACCAAAGGCATTCTATGATTCCATATAGAAACTAAACTTCAGGATGCTGGACTGAACCATCGTGCTGTCAGTGGGAAGAAGAATGTGAATGCTGGTTGGGGAGGGGATGAAATGCTCTCCTGCTATTATCAGAAATCTCTCTAACTTATCTACTGACCATAGAAGAGCAGTCAGTATGTTAATGTGCTGTAATAAACAGTTCAGAAATACCTATATGTAGCACAAAAGAAATCAGTGCCAAATGGCTCAAGAGCAAATTCTGTTGCTCAATTCGTTCCAGAAGAATTCCAGAGCTGACACTGATTTCTAGGTGTCCAAAGAACTGAGCAGGGCAGTGCGACAGAGAAGTTGTTCCTATTCATTATGGGTCTTCTCTGGAGCAAGCATGGAAGGTTTTGAACATCCATGAAAGCTCATTTGAGCTGCTTTCTGTTAACAGATTCAAAGCAGTGCTGCTGACTTCCACTGTCTCTCTTTTCATTTTCTTTTGATGTGTTCTTTTTTTATTTTTATTTTTTTAGCCCCTGCCTACAGAATGGAGCGTGTGACCCCCCTGGGCATTCTGTCACTTGTTCTGAACATCATGTGTGCAGCTCTGAATCTCATCCGAGGAGTTCACCTAGCAGAGCATTCCTTTCAGGTAAAACCGACTAGAAAGCTGTCGATGAGATGAAGAAGGAGAGTTACTGGGGTAACAGGGTTAAGGGTGGCTGTTCTGCTTTGTAGCAGAACGTACATCTCTCCATAGGAAGTGTTTTGTTTCTCCTCTCCTGCTGGAACTCAAGTATGTTGTTGTCTGTCCAGCATGCTGTGCTTTATTCCTTTCTGCTGAGACTGAAATTTGGAGGAGTATTTTAGTCTTTCAGAACTGGGTTTGTGATGATTGTTTTCCTTCTTCGTTTTCTTCTAGATACTTCTTTGTAATTTTTATTACACAAATGTGAAACTGCAAACAGCTTTAAAAAAGACCAAAAGAAGTATCCTGAAGGTAGAGATGCAGAGTTTAACTTAGCAGGTGTTACCACATAAGCCTCAGCTTTTAGTGCCTTGTTCAACCCTATTGATCTTGTTGCTGTTTGGTACTGCTACAGTCAATCAAGTTAAACTGGGCTGAGAGGTGCTTCATGAAGGATAATATTCTAAAATATGAAGTAGTGCTTGCTAACAACTGTAGCTGATGTAATTCCTTGTTTGTTGCTTCTTTATCCAAACAGGAGGACTATGAAGGAATTGGAAATGTGGTAGCATTTTTTCTACCTTTTCTAGCCTGTGTTTTTCAGGTATGTTAAACAAGCTGCTTTCTCATTTTTGATATTACAGTTTACAATGCAAAATCGTTTCCAGCTAAGCAGAGGCACAGCTTGGTTTCTAGCATCTCATCTAGTTGATTCCACAAAGGTATTCCAGTGAAGTGGCACAGCTACAATTAAGAGTGCCTTATGTATGAGCCTTGGAAATTGCAGTTGCAAGCTTCTGCAGTGTTTCTATGCTGTTACTGAGCTGAGTGTGACAAGTGCTCCCCCAAAGGTGGCTTGTTTCCCAAAGGGATCTCATGATGCCTTTCTGACAGTGGCAGACAGGGCTGAAAGACTTTTGTAACCTAACCACCTCGAAAGGCCAAGCACACTGAAAATGTCATTTACATTAAAAGTTATTTTTAATTGCTATTTGTTGGATCATAATAGATAGGCAGTTGAGTGTCTTTCAGCCTTCTTACACCTCTGTTTATGACAGAGCTTCAAAATGGAGGTAATATTCTGGATCTGAAAGTAGATGCAGATCAGTCTTTACAAAGGGAGGCTCTGTCTTCCATTTCTCCTGTTAAATCTGAAGCTAAAGAAGCTTAAAAATAAACAAGTTTGCTCTCTCCCTGTCTGCAGAGGTCATCTTCACAAAATACTCGTGCATAAATTGAGCTGAAATGTGAAGTGCTTTCTACTTCATGATCTTTACTTGTGTCCTTGGCACAGTTGGAAGCTGTGACCAGAAGTGTGAAAGCCTGATCTGTTGCTGTCTGAGTTTAAAGTCAATAATTTGTCTGCCAGCAGTGGGTGAGATTTTTAGTTTTCTCCTGTAAGGCTTGTTGCTCTTTGTCCATAATTAGCAAGTGGGTTCTACTTGATTTTTGAATTAAAAAAGGAAAAAAAAGCCCCGAACGCTTTTTGAGCCACACGTTGACAGAAATGATGGTCTTGCTACCAAGTCAGCTTAGAGAATGAAGCCCTTCACTTATCCCAAGAGCAAACACAGCAGCAACAGATCAAGTTTTGCTCATTTCCTGCTTCTAAGCCTTTGGCTTCCAAAAATCCTCGGTGGGTTTTGCAAGCTGGCTCCAACTTCAGACTCCTTTTGTTCCAGGTTGAGGTAGGTAGGAGGGATTGTGCTGACAGGCTCAGCCAGAGCTGTGGGCTGGGGCTGCTGCCCTGCTCTTGTGGGAGGAACTTCCAGCATGGGAGCTGAAAGGAAGCCCTGAGCTGCTTAGTGATCAGTGCAATAATGGGTGCCTCCAGCTATGACTCTTGTCTCTACATCCTTGAATGCTAACACTCTTCCTGTGTTTCTGTTGCAGTGTTATTTGTACCTGTTCTACAGCTCCATGAGGAAGGTGAAGACATTTGTACTCTTCTGCTCTGTTTGTTCATGCAATATTTACTTGTATGGATTACGGAATCTCTGGCAAATAGCCTTTCACATAGGAGTGGCATCTCTTTCCTCCTACCAGATACTGACAAGGCAACTTATGGAGAAACAACCTGACTGTGGAGTATGAAAAAGACTTTGGGTTCGCAATGCTCTTTTTAAAATCATTTTTTATGGTATTAAAATGGCCAAAAATAGTTTGAAGTATTTTTAAATATTTGTGACAATGGTTACTGCAAGGAGGATGTTCCAAAACATGACATTATGACAGGATACTACTGTATTTCATTCACACAGTGAAGAATTCAGCTGTGTTCCACATAACGTGTGCTAAAGGTGCATGATAGATTTTGTCAGGTGTCATCAACGGGTCGAGGTTCTCCTTACCATAAACAGGCTCTTACTCCTTGACTACCACCATCCAGACAGCATTTTGCCATCTGTCTTGCTGGCTTTGTGACAGTTTGGCAGCCCAATGTCTTGGCCTGCCAATGCTTCTAAAAATATTAAAAACATTGCAGTGAAGCGAAGGTAAAGTGGTGGGTAATATTTTTGTCTGTAGAATTTATTAAACGTTAAGATTCTTGGTAAATGTAAGGAAAGGAGTAGTTTGCCATAGTTAGGTGAGTTATCAATGGGAGAAAGTGTTAGGATGAGATTCAGGGCATATTTTTCCTGGGTTTTGAAGGAAAGGACAAGACTGGCTTCTTCAAAAACTCTAGAGGCTATAAGTGTCTCCTGGCTGAGCAGCACATTGTCATTAACTGTGTGCTTATTGTTTAATCCCAAATATGCTTAGGGCAGCATGAAGTGAACCAAGCGAACACAAGTGACCTTTCAGCTCAGGTGGCCTTTATTTCCTTGGTTAAGGTCACTCTCACTGTAAGGGCAATCCCATGTTTGCTTGGTCTGTACAGATAACAAACCTTCCAAGCCTCCTTATGACAGTCCTTCACCTTTAGAGCTGTTGAATTGAAAGCCATCTCCAGTAATGGAGAGCAAGAGCAGGTTCTCTTTTTTTAATCTGAAACACCTTTCGTTTTTGGTGTTGAGTTCTTACACTAAGATGAATTTATGAGCGTGGAAGTTTGGATACTACTTAGCTCTACTACTTAGGAGCTGAGTTTCTTCACCTCTGCTGCACTTGGTTTTCCTGTATGTGATCAGGATCACAGAATGTGATGCAGTTTGGCACATAAATGAACATAACAAAGCATAACATACATGAACAAAGCATAGCATTTTGATGCTGCTGTCCCTGAAGGATTGAAGACTCAAACTGGAAAGATACAGGGAACTGTAAGCGTGTTATTGTCCAACTGTGGGCATTGCTTTTCTTTTTTATTATTGTTGTTTTTCCTTACAAGTCTATTTCCTGGTGACCCCATTTCCATTTCCACCAAAGATACCTTTTTTTCCTCTCACAGTCTCTACCTCTGGTGGTTGCAGGGAGATGAACACCATGCAGAGATGTCTTCCTGAGTTTGCAGGAACACATGAAAGAAGTTTCTTGTTTCTTGCACATCTGTGAATTTCCCTGGAATCTCATCATGCCAACATTGCTAGTGTCAGTGGATTGCTAGACCAGAATTGTGTAGCACCTTGGAAGCACTTCTTTGATGCTTCTGACTTCAACCTGCAGCCCATTATAACCTGAATGGTTTCTGAGGCTGCATGGTAGCACAGAAGCATTTCTCTTCCATTCCATGCTAACCAATTACTGTCACAATAAATAGTGAGTGCTTTAAAGTGCTTGGAAGTATGCAGTAGAAATGATGGAGGAAGATTTCAGCCAGCCAGATAGGAGCACTGCTAAGGCTGTGTGCTGTAAGGGATGGGTTAACATTGGTTTTCTGTTGTATGCTCTGGCAGAAAACTGGAGCTGAGTGGAAGATGAAGCCAGCATTGAGCCACTGTCCTTTTGGCACCTGGGGGTCCCCACAGATGTGCAGATTTTAGAGCTGCCAAGCTTTAGGTTTCCATGCTGGTCAGTCCCAGTTTTACTTGGTGAGGTTGGTGAGATGCTCTTTCAGTGTGATTGGAGGCTGCAGGGAACTAAGAAATACAGCTGGATTACAACTAACTCAAGTAATTATAAAGCAAACCAACAAAAACCCAACCAGCCCAACTCCTGACCTCCCTCTCTCCACATTGTCCCCAGAAAGCTTAAAGACATGTAAAAAATAAATCTCTCACTAGGAATGAATGCTTTGCTAACCCAGTCTGGTGGGGGCAGCTGCACCCATGGGAGGGCATTGGAACTGGATGGCCTTTAAAGTTGCTTCTAACCCCAGCTGTGCTGTGAGTCTAAGGAAGATAGTGGATCTGACATGTTTTTGGTTGCCTAGGGCATGGACTGGCTATCAGCCTACTGGCTAACTGTGGGGAAAGAATAAAGCATTTCCTACTACAAAAACTTGGTGAAAGGGCCCTCTGACATCCTCAGACTCCCCATTCCTCCTTTATTTCACCTCCAGTCAGGCTTGAGAATCCAAAAGAGCTGCACTGGTTCTCCTTAGGGCTTCAGTAAAGCTGGTTTGCTATCACATAAGGCATGCAGATCACAGCCAGGGCACAGGGCCAGGGAACCATTGTCTTCTTTGTGTTCCACGTCCCCCTGTTTAGCTGATGGGAAGAAACTGTAATATTCCTGATGGCTCCTGAGCATCTGTTTGCTTTATCATAAAACAAATGCATCCCTGCTCCAGGTGATGTGAGCAATAGCTCGCTTCGGTGAGGAAGGTAGAACAAGGTGTTAAGACAGCTCTTGTAATTAACCTAATTAGAGTTGATAGAGATTAAATTCAGCCTTCCCCTTCATGTTTTCTTTTCTTCCTGAGAATGCTTTGTCAAATAAAATCAGTTGGTGCAATTCTGCCTTCGTGGAAATGCTTTAGGGAATGGATAGAGGATGTGACTGGGTTTTTTTCTGAACAGACAAAGCTTTGATTTGCTGTGAGGCTTAATCTCTTCACAACCTTTTAATTTTTCCTTATTAAGCCGTGTTAAAGAACCTGTGTGCATTCACATGAGCACCGTGTCTGTGCACTTTGCAGGTGTGGGTTTTGATTTCGGTACAAGAGCAAACATTTGACCTGATCGTTGTTTTGTGTTGTTATTTAGAATGGCTTCTCTATCCGTATGGCATTGACACAGTTAAACCTTTTCCTCCAGCCAAACAGCAGGAGGAATAGCATAGCTTACATTGATTTCAGTGCTTTAAGGTTTAATAAAAAAGAATGACTTGCAGTTTGAGTACATGAAATCTGACTCATAGCGTGGGATTATGGCTGTGTTAAATCCCCAAACAGGGATCCATCCCTTTTTTGTTCAAGCTGTTGAACGCAGGTTGACTTGTATCTCCTTAATTCAGTTTGTGAGTCCCTGGGAGGTTCTTCTCCTCGCCCAGCAGCACAGCGTGAGGAAGTTGGCACAGAGGAAACTTCATTAACTTAAGGGTTTGCAGAGCGTGGTCACTTTATGAACCCCATTTTCTGTTCTTTTTTTTCTCCTAAATGCCTGTTAAGTTTATAGAAGGTGGGCTGGTACCTTTTTAGACGTTTTTGCACTCTATTAATAATTGAACCTGTGTAAATGTGTATAAAATCATTTTGCATGTGTATGTATAAATGTACATATCTAATAAATGGCTTTTGTTTTGTTTTGTAATGGCTGCCTTCCTTTATAGTTCTGAAGTAGCTGGCCATGCTGGAAGCAAGGTAGATGGGCTCTTTCAGTTTGGGATGCAGGAGTGTGGGCATACCCAGGATGTCTCAAAGCTAAGCTCAGTGCAGTCATTCTCTTTCACAAACAGAAATGGGTGGTTTTGAATGCTCTCACAAGGCCTGCTGCATCGTGTGCAGTCTCTGAGCAAAAAGCAGCTTTTGTGTTGGTTTGGGTAGCTGTTAGATGCAGTTATCCACACACTGGAGATTCATGAGTTGAACTGTATAAAAAAACACATACAGGAGCTCGCTTTCTCAAGCAGCAGGCTGTGATATCATCTGTCATTAACAATCTTGCTCTTCCTTTGCAGAGAACCACATCGCAGAGGCTTTTCCTACCACCCCTGCGTTCTGAAATACTGAATTACTTGAAGTCTGATGTAGCAAAGTCCTGTCAGTCCATTTCCAGCTGCTTTCCAGAGAAATGGGGGTTCTGCAGCTAGCTGCTCAGTTTTAGCCTGCTCTGTGAATTGAACCACATCCGTGAGCTCGTCCTACCTGTCAGCTGTTTGTGGATATGTGAAATACAAAATAACAAAAGAAAATGTGGGTTTTTATTTCAGCCACCTTTGATAGAGGCTCCGAAAACAACCTCATCAGGCTTTTTGTTGATGACTGAGTGTGACAGGAAGGTCAGCATTCCCACTCTCTGCAGTCTCAGGTATCAGTGAGTTAGCTTTGGGAGAGAGTGGTGCTTTTGAATGGCACGACTCAGTGGGAATCCCTTTTGGGCCATCAGGAGCCAAAGGATCTCACAAAAATCACAAAGCTGGAAGTAGCCAGGCTTGCACCCTTGTGCTGATGTCTTCCTATTCCTTCGCAGGCTCCGTACTGAGATGGTGGTCAAGAAGGCAGCTGTAAGAAAAGCAGGAGAACTTCAGGTTCATTTTGGAGAACTGCAGGTTCCTTTTTGTTCCTCCTCTGCTACAGAGGTACATCCCCCTCTTTGCATTGACTTGACTGTTCCCCTCAGAGCATGCTTGGATGCTGGCTGGAGGCGTTGACATGTCAGCAGTACATCTGAGGTGCTGCAGCACCGAAAAGAGGTGGAAGAGCCTGTGTGTGCCCCTGTAATGAGGGAAGAGGGCAGCACAGTGGGTTGTGCAGACAGTAGGTGGTAAAAAGCAAACGCTGACGGTGCGGGAGGGCAGAAGGAGCCTTATTCTCAACTGCTCTGCCCTTTGAGGGCTGGGAGGTGTTATTTCTGTTCTGTAAACAAGCAGTTGCTCAAAGCATCTTTCTTCTCCAGATGCCAGGGGAGAAGAATAGCAGCTTTACCCTTGATTTATTTTTTCTTTCTAAGGTGAAGGGAGAAAGCAATTATAACTCCCTTTTTCTTTGAAGATGCTGATAAAAGGAGGCGGGCGGATCAGAGGGTCCTCGTGCCAAAAAGGAGCAGCTCCTGAGGTGATAGAAATGCATGTTTTTTGTTTTAAACAGAGGAACTCAACTTCTGCCGTATGCCAGCTTACAAATGTGACCCAATTGCATCCCAAAACTTTGAGGAGGGAGGGAAGATCAAGAAAAAGAATCAGAGAGAAAGATCGGCTCTGCTCTCACACGTGCTGCCTCTGTGTGAAGGTGCACCCCAGAATCCAGCAGTGGTTGGGTTGGAAGGGACATCAGAGGTCATCCAGACCCAACCCCTGTCCTGGGCTGGTTGCTCCCACCGGGCCAGGCTGCCCAGTGCAAATCCAGCCTGGCCTGAGGCACCTCCTGGGGTAGGAATGGGTACCTCTGGGTTGTCTGCCAATAAATGAGAATTAGAATGAGAATGAAGGATTTCTGCTGACGTTTGCCATGCTGTGAATGTAGCATCATTCACTTGTATCCATCAACCGCTTTGGGGAGACCTGATGGCTGCTGCTCTGTGGGCAGGCAGAAAAAAGGTAATGTCCCTTCTCTTGGCCTGACCCACACCAGTAAGGCTGCAGCTTTTCTTTAAATTCTTGGTGAACGCCAGCATGAATTTGCACTTCTGTGTCTTTAACAATTAGCTTAAACCAATTGATCAGTCTAATAGGAGGGGTGATTCCCCATCCCCAAAGCTGCAGGTCTTTCCCTTGAGTAATTCTAGCTCCTTTTTCTAGCTAGAAATACTAATTTTTGCTACTACAGAACCACTTTTAAGGTTGTTAAACGGTAACAGAAAATGAGCTCTTGAAAGTCTTTTCTTTCCATTCCTATGTAAGCTATGAGATCAGCAAAGCACAGAAGTACATTGAATTCCCTTTGGTGGAGTAAGCCTTGTTCATATCAGAACGATAAGGCCTGAAATAAAGACCATTAAAAGGTAAAGCACCGGTTGGTACAGCATGAGGTACAGCCATGGAGGTTTACTCTTTCATTATGCAAGAAAAGACATGAATTTAGAAATTCCCTCATTTCCTGGGCTCTTTTAGGGAAACATTAAAAAGCAATTGTGTGGAAAGTTCAGCTCTGAAATACATTAGTGCTCATTGGTATGCAAAACACAACAGAGGCCTTCCAGGAGGTGCTGCCTCCTTCTGCACGCTTTGGCTGAGCACTGAGGGCGCAGATCTGGTGCAATGAGCTCCAAACTATCTGTATTTGCCTTTTGGATGGCAACCTTAGCATGGTTCTGAGGGCAGGGGTTGCAGTGGCTCTGCCTCATGTTGGTTTTTGCTGTCTCAGGTGTGATTTGAACTTAGGTGCAACATGAGGCACGTGTGAGTTGAAGAAGGTTGGGCATCTGCCTCAGGCATAGCCTGGAACTGGAGCATCCTTCCCAAATGTGGGACTCCTCCCAAGGTAACACTTTCTACTTTCACATGTTTAATACACATGAGAAACTCCCAGCTCATGGAACAGAAACCCCTGGAGCTTGAGACATCTTGGCAGCATGGTCAACATGCCAAGGCTCCCCCAGTGTGTCCTGCACCGCTGCTCTGCATCCAGCCCATATGCTCTCAAGTCACAGCATCGTTTTTCTCCCCTTGCCTTGAAGCTTCTTGCTGAGACTGGTTTGCAGATGCTGGGATTGGAGGGAGCAGCTCTGTGCTCTGGTAGTTGATAGCTGAACTGAGTAGAGAGAAGCTCAGTGCAGGCTCTGTTCCAGGACTTTCATGCCCTGGCTATGTTCCTCATGCTCACACAGGATCTCCTGATCCCTCCCCTCCATACACGAGCAGGAATGCAGCGAGAAGAAATTGGAACTGAAATGAAAAATAAAATAAAATAAAATAAAATAAAACAAAATAAAGTAAAATAAAATAAAACAAAACAAAATAAAATGAAACGACTTCAGTGTGACTCCTCGAGCTCTGTACTGCTCTCTCTCGCAGGCACTGGGAGGCAGCAGAACACAGGCTAAGACTGTGCGCTCAGGCTGGGATTGAGGCCAGGGAACCTGCTCGATTTTCTACCTGCTCGTATGAACGCTACGGTTCTCCCGGTAGCTTTTGCAAAACAGAGATAAAACACCCTGGAGACAGCAGGGGATGCAAATCCACTTACCTAGCGAGGCTGGAACCAATTTGTCAAAAGCGAAGTCATCTTGTTTTCTTTTTTTGCCTCGCTCATCCTTAAGGTGCAAAGCGTGATGCTTTGTGCTGAGCACTGGCTCTGCTGTTCTGAGCTTCGGGGCTTTGTTCTCAGACTGAAAGGTTTTGGAAGGAACAGGAGGCTTTAGGAGAGGTGAATCCGAGGCTTAATTAGCGACAAGTCTGGAGGCATGCATGCATGCATACACTGCTGGTGCTTAATCCACCTGCTCGGAAAGTTAAGTTGGAAAGAAAGGCATTTGAGGCCAAGCCTCGTTTCTGAAGCTTTGCTAATAAGTGGGAAATGGTGATGCTATGAGCTCTTCTTCCTCTTGTCTTTTTGCTGGCAGCAGTGCTGATCACAGTGTTCCCCCCCCCCTTGTGATTGCAGAGGAGCTCGGATGGGTGTGAGAAAGCAGCATGGGGCCATAAAGGATAAATGGACAACAAAGAGGCAGGGAAGGACAGGAATTGGGACACCCAAAACCTGGTTCTATCTGCTCCATCACCATCCCACATCCAAGATGCCCAAGTTCCCTGGGGGTTCATGGAGGCAGAGCTGACATTGGACACTTCTTCCTGGAGAAACACGTGTGCTTGCAAAACGAGATGGTGCTGCTCACTGCCAGGGCTGACTGGGAAAACAGGATGGATTTTGCTGGCAGTAAATCTGCTGCAGTTAGGGGTTGAGGAGCTGCCTGGCTGGGGAGGAAAGCCTTGGTGGAAGCTGCAACTCTCTACCACCCCAGTGCAAAGGGGTCAGCTGAAGTTTCTAGGCTTGCTAGACAAATCCTGGGCCCCCAAGTGCACTCATGCACTGTGTAGATCATATACACTCATCCACCAATGCCTTGCTCTGAAACCACTCTCTTGTTGCTCACAGGGTCTCGTGGCCATAATCAGGGATTGCTGGGTCATTGCTGCAGAGTCATTGCTCCTGCCTGGCTAAGGAATGATGAAGGCATCTGAGTTTCCCATGGGAATGATTCCCTTTGGGAACGGCTCCCTCTGTGAGCCAAGAAAGCCAGCTCATGACCCAGTGTCCACTGCAGTAGCTCAGATGTGAGCCTAGAACTGAACTCCTGGTCAGTGACCTGATGGGAACATTCTCTGTTGTGACAGCTCCCAGCTGTCTGCTCACCAGGTTTAAGCAGAAGCAATCCAACCTGGAATTGCCAGCTGATGTGTGGACAACAACTGAGCTCCGGAGGAAAGTTATAATCTGAAATGAAGGTTGTCCGTGCTGCCTGCTCCTGAAGGCGATTCAGAGAGGGATGCTTCTCAGGAGGAGTGAGTTGGATGGAGGGTTGGATTTTTAAGCTCTTCCTCACTGACCTCGCTGCATTATTTAGCTGTGATAATCCTTTTTTTTCACAGTAGAGATTTGTGCAGTGCTCCCTGCAAGTGGACTGACAGGACGTGGTCATCTCTCGAGCAGTGT